TAGTTCATCTTCGACACAAACAGCCTGGGTTCTGTTAGTGAGGTAGCTTGTCAACCATGCGAGAGAGTTATCCTCCAAACCAAATCTTTTGAGCTTGCGAATGAGATCATCATGGGGGACGGTATCAAAGGCCATTTTTAGATCGATAAATAAGGCCCCAGTTAGTTTTCCCGCCTCTGTGCTTCTTCTAATTGTGTCACAAAAATATGTTGCCGCGGTCTGCGTCGAATGATAACATTTAAACCCTGATTGAAATGAATTGAAGAGGCCATGTTGATTTAGATACTGTTGAAGTGTAACATTGACGCCTTTTTCGGCAATCTTCGAAATTACTGGTAAAATGGAAATGGGCCGGTATTTGTCCATAACTTCCCGACTTCCTGATTTGTACAGAGGAACAACTCTCCCCTGCTTCCACTCATCTGGTACAGTGCCTGTGGTCAAAGAGAGATTTCAAAGAAAAGTGATTGACTGGGTGATAATAGCAGCACTGTCTTTCAGCAAACACGCAGGGATTCTATCTAAACCCGTGGCTTTCTTCACCTTTAGGCCTTTTAATTTTTTAAAGACAAAACTCTCCTTACCTGATAGAAGACACAATTTCTGATCCGTAAAATTATCACCGGAAAACTCGAGAGTACCTATGGACTGTTGAACGGTTTCCAAAAGCTTAGAAACGGCGTTTGTAAAGAAGTTATCAAACTTCTCGGCAATAGTTAATTTTTCAGTAATTGTATATCCCTCCTTAGTCTTGATAGATTCTGGACACGCTGAGTTGCCTTTCTTGCTTGGAAAAACTTTCTTAATTACTCTCCAGAAGGCTTTAGGGCTATCAAGATTTTCCTGAATTTAATTCCTATGATAGCGACGTTTTTCATTCCTGATTTTATTTCACACTTTATTTCTTAGTCGTCGATAGGCATTCCAGGCCACCTCAGCTCCAGACCCTATCACTATCTTTCGCCGATAGGGAGCGTGTTTATCACAAACATTCAAAAACAACTCTTTCCATTTACTCCAGGCAGTGTTTACATTTCTTTCTTTCAGAACATTATCCCAAGGGATATCTCTTAGATCATCACAGAAAGCCGAAGGATTGTACTTTGCATAATTCCTGCATTCAATTATTCTTGGTGGCAGTTTGCGTGCATTAATT